CACGGCCATTGCTTGACCAATTTGTTCTCTGTGAAAGCCTGAGAGAATGGTTTCTCTCTATGTGATTCTCTTTAGGCACAGTCTACATCATTGATCACTTTCAACTGTGGCCCCATAATCTCCTTGATCAGAAAATTTGGGACACCACTGATTTACAGTATGTTACAGTACAGGTTATGTCCTAAGTCCTCAATGACCTTGAAGGGCTAGGGCCACAATATTGGCTATACTTGTAGCCCTTCTTTTTCTCTAATTTTTGGTCTGCAAACTTAAGTTTTTTAGTCTTTCAGAAGAGAAGCTTAATGGTATTTTTACCCTATAACATAGGCAGTTGAGCCTCACTATCTGTGAATATCAAATATTTTAGATATAACATGGAACAGGTATTTTCCATCAAGTATTGATATGTTAAACTTTAAATCTCTACAGAATGTGAAGAAAAAATAAAAAAATAATAATTGTGTAATACTAGGACCATACTTGGAATGCCTGTCATTCTGGTCTTCTAAATATGTACTGCTTCTAATATAATATCAATTACTGCTATACTGCCTATCAATAAATGTTTGTTTAAAAAAAAGAGTAATCAATGAAAACAAGAGAGTAGAAAAAAATGTCATAGGACTGCCCTGCTACAATGCTACATGTTTAGATTTCTGAATTTCTGTGTAAAAATATGTAATTGCTTACCATGACTTTTAAATTGTCATGCAAATGGAACTTCCAGTGCAATAGTAGATACTCATAATGTTTTGAAGTCTAAGAATGCCTCTTTGAAATATTTTACTGAAGGATAGTATGAAACTATTATTTCTGGAAATCGTTCAGCTGGTTAAACCAGAGCCTTGCCAAAAAGCCAAGGACAGCCTAGCTCTGAAGTCTCTGTCACCTGACAATGTATGTTTCTGAAATGCATAATGAGGGAATAGAAAGAAATGAGAGTTTCTTCATGGATATTATATCCATCTATTTTTCTTCTAAAATATGTCAAAAAGAATAAGCACATTTACCCTTGAACAAGACTTGAAATAGACTCTAAGTAACTGAGTGCACGCAGTGCGCTCATTGTTTCCCATGCTCTTCAGACCAGTCCATAAACATCTGAAGATCCAGTTCTGTTTTCTTTTTCTGGGTCTCAGTGTGCACCTTTCTGAGTGGTGATATTATGTGAAGTCATTTAAATTAGTGCGAGAGCTTTCTGCTCAACAAAGCTGGAGGAGAAGTTCAGATTTACACTTTTTCCAGTAATTCTTTCAAATCTAGCCTCTGTATGTTGGAGTGAGACTTCATAGATGACAGCAGGTCTTAGGTCCTTGGTGATATGTCTACTTTAGCTAGATTTTACACACCACCCACCATCATCACTTCCATGTCTAATAATATCAGTCACAAGAGAAAGAAAGCACATGAAGAACAAGCCGTTGGTGGGCAGGACTAGAGTCTTACAGTGACACTGAATGAGGGTGGGCTGGACAAAGCTGCTTTAGGAGCAGTGAAGATTGGGAAGAGGTTGCCAAGGAGATAGCTCAGTAGAATAAGCACTTGCTTTGCAAGCGCAGGGTCCTGAGTTCAATCCCTGGTGCCAAAAAAAAAAAAAAAAAAAAAAAAAAAAAAAAAAAAAAAAGATTGGGAAGAGGTAGAAAGGAGACTGACAGGAACCTGAAGACAGTGATATTCTGCCCCACCACTTTTCCCCTAACCAAATCAGCTTTTGAAGTTCAAAATAGTTGCTCACTTTGGCCACAGAGGCCAGATTCTCAGTCCAATAAGTCAGATTTACGTAAAATATACTGGAACAAAAGATTTAAGTTTCACCTTTCTCTGCAACTTTTACAGTATGAAAGTGAGGACTGGAAATGTAAAGCACATTTTTTCCCCTCTGAATAACTATCACAAAAGAACTTCACAAACTGTGTCAGGTATCAAGAACCTAAAACAAATCTTGTACTTGGGGAATCTTTTTTTTTTCCAAATGTAATTTGATTTGTTTGGCGTGATAGATAAAAGAACAAAACAAAGGGAGCATTTTCTTTCCAGAGCTCAGGTTATACTGATGCATTATGTATAAGCATAATTCTTTTAATTTTTCATGCAAAATGTTAATTGTTCATCATTTTTAAAACAACACTCAAGGCAATCAAAATAATTTGGATATCTTTTCTGACTTACCCAACTTTAAACAAGTAAGTCTTTTGTAACATTTATTATATTTCACTTAACATTAATGAAAAGTGAATACAAGAAATTCAAGACATGCAAGGTTTGGGAAAATTGCTTCCTATTAGAACATTCATGAAATACTCATCTATAAGATTCCTTCATACATTAACTCTCTTTCCCACATGATGAATTTGCTGCAGATGAGGTGATTAAAGTAAACTTTTTGTACTTAAAATTTTGAAGGTGAACACATAGGTAATTATTACTCCATTAGCATAATTTCAGGAGTTTTATACACTATACAATTTGGATTCTGCTGTTTAGTTTGGGCTCCCATAAAATAATTTGGGGTTTTTAATGACACAGAAACATTTCTCAAGGTTAGCTTTTCCAAACAGAAAGTTGAGTGTTACAAATTCCACCTCCCACAGGACAGAATTCACATCCATTGGTCAGGGGCAAATACCCCTGGCTCTGTGTCTTCAGTCACTTTGTGCCATTCCTCCAAGAGGCAGCCAAAGGTAAGTTTTCACACTTGCTCTCTTCAAGGGTTAGGAGTTTTTTCTCTACTTTTCCATCTTTAAAAAAAAATAATTAAACTTGCCTTAATATCTCCCTGTGAAATTTGATCCACTATGTTTGGTTTAACTTTGTTGTTGACTTTGTTTGTGTGTTACTTTTGGAATAACCAACATTTTGAATTTGCTTAGGCATTAATAACAGAGAAAATATTTGATCTTAGTAGTCACAACATGCCAATAAAATTATAGTGGTTTCCAATATATTTCTTAAATCAAGAGCTCAAACATGGACCACAACTTTTGGCAATAGACACAGTTAGTAGTGATTGATATTGATGAAAATATTATGCAAGAAGAGAAAATACTGATCTTATTGGCATTTTTAAAAATGCTAATGACTACATGGCATCAAGCATTTTTAATGTCTTCTTCAGGTAGATATTCTAAGCTTTTAAATATATATAAATTTCCATCCTATTACAGAATGGATGAGAAACAAAAGTTTCAATTGAGAAACTATGTTAACTATTAACAGTGACTTGAGAGGTGTGCATTTCTACACTTAAGATACATAGATTTTCTTTATATTTCTCTGATTCTCTGAGACTGTTGTTGCTGATAGTTCTAGGGCATATGGTAAGCGCAAGTAAACTCAGATATGTGGCTATTGATAATCAAATATAAAGTAGGAAGAAAAAATTGGCGAAGGTACAATTTCTTTGAAAATAGGAGTGGTCAGAATCGTACAAGTAAAGCACTGTTTGAGCTTAGTAACCATTGTTAATACTACCCACCTGAGTATAGGAAGATGGTTAGTGGACGCTGCACAAATCATTCTATTTCATTAAGTAAGACTAGGTTGGTAATGGCCTAGAATGGTCCCAAATCTGTAGTCCTGCAAAGCCTTGTGCAAAATAAAGTGAAATAGAGGCTTAGTTTATTCAGTGTGAATCAAAAATTCATTTGAAGAAAGCATAGTAGGGAATAAAAAGGGGTTCCTTGTACTGCCTCTTATTCTCAGGGGCATTTCATATCCTTCTGCCTGAACCTGCTTCACAAAGCCTTTCTTTCAAAAACTGAAGGTCAGTTTGCCTGGTAGTGCATAAACCTATAAAGCAATATTTGCTATGAATTAATTTTTACATGTGTACATGAGTACTAACACCTCATATACTGATTTCTAAAGTAAAATAATTGTGTCCAAAATATTTTACAATTGGGCCTTTTGATAAACAGTTTTATAACACATTTCCTGCTTAAAAAGTGATGATTATGAATGCTTTTTCAATATTTATAACTAAGCATAAGCTTTTGCCTTGAACTAGAATGTATTTGAGAGAACACATACAGAGAAAAATAATTAAATATATGATCTTAAGAACCCCACAATTGTATCTTACAGTGGAAAGTGAGAATTATGCTTATTAATGAATTATAAAAAATACATTCTCTAAACCTCATTAATTCCTTTTCTAATAGACTCTTTCCAAATATTGGCTTTTAGACAAATATTCGTCTTGATTCTGAGTTTACACTTGTGACAGCTATTAAGAATCAAAATAGAATACTAAGGACTAATAGAAAACAGCTTTTGCTTAGTGCATGAAATATTAATTTATGTACATATTAAGTTATGCGTGTATTTATATGCTCTAAAATAGCAAAAAATTTATATGGAATGTTCCAAAACATTTCATTGTTTTGGAACTCCCTAGGCTTGAATGTGTATGAGAGTTATGAGTACTAGCTGTATGACTGAGAGTTGCATTTTCATCATTTACAAGGGAATCTGACAGTTGTAGACATTGTTATCACTAACCTCCTCTTTCACCCTGTATCTCAGAATTGCTGAAAGAGAGGCCGAGGAGATGGCTCAGTAGAAAAAGTGTTTGCCTGGCAAGCACCAGGGCCTGAGTTCAATCCCTGGTTCTGAAAAAAAAATTGATGAAAGAATCTTAGCACATTTTAAATGTCAACAGTCTTAAAGGATACACTTTTATAAACACACAAATCACTATTCTTCTACATCTTTGAGTCACTGACTTTCTGCATCTTCCTTTCTCTATTTTTTCCTCCTAAAATTAATTTTACCGTAATTAAGATATCGACTGCAAAAATGCGAATAAGGTTGTGGCTTGAGTTGAATATTTGAATCCAATGGCCTGAGCAGCCATCGATCAAACTTTATATATTACCCACAAAAAGAAAGCCACAAGCTTGACTTCTTTACTTCTTAGTTGTCATGAATTTAGCATTCCTATTGATAGCAAATTCTTTGTAAACTACTGCCAATTAAGTATGTTTTCATAGTTTATGAGAAGGAGATTTTGCAAGATGAAAATGTTAGCCCGACTTGCTGTCGGACTCCTCATGCTTGGTGCTGCTACGACTGCTCCAACCCCGGAGGACATCAACTATGACTCCGAAACCTATGATGCCACCCTGGATAACTCCTACAACTACGAAGACATTGCCATCGAGCAAGCACAGGTACCTGGAGTTCCCCACTCTTGAGAGGTTGAAAAGTATTTAATGAGGGATGGTTGGGTCTGTCCCCCTCCAATAGATTTTTGTCTATTTTTAGAGAAGTTTTCTCTTAATCATTTCACATCAACCTTTTCTACTGAACATAGTCAATGTTTTAGAGGTTAGCATGGAAAGACTTTTGCTTTCCTGCACTTCACTGGCATTTTTGTCAAGTCTCAGTACCAAAGTGAAGAAAGAGAAAGAAATAGGATTTTATCTTATGGTGTAGCAGAACAAGTTAGAGAAAAAAAAAAGGCAGTCAGCAAAGAAGGAATTATTAAACTCTATCTATCTATCTATCTATCTATCTATCTATCTATCTATCTATCTATCTATCATCTATGGAGTTGGAAAATTAAGGGGAAGGAGGAGAGATTGAAATACATTAGAAGGAATTAGAGAGAGATGTGAGACAAGAGGAGGGTTGAAGCTGTACTGCGCTCAGGACTGAGTCTGCCTCCTGCACTAACCATCTCGCCAGGGCCAAGGCAGGCACAGGCAAGGTTGCAAGCCTGCACCTAAACCTGATATCATGACTTCATAATTAAATTCAAGATGCTTTACACAACTAGAGGATACAGGATAATTCTCATCAATCAGAACACAGATCTTGAAGTGCTCAAGTGCAATTAATATGCAATATTACAAACTATAAATTAACAAAAAGGAAGTTACATCCCCTTTAAAGGGTCAGAACACATTTTGGGAAGCCTTTCTCATAATAAATTTTCTTAGGGTAATTTCTTTTGGTAACCAGGGATACAAACATTTAGATAAAATCATACCTAATTAAATTTTATGAAATTTAGTTGTATGCTATATTTATTAAGAAGATGTTAAAACCATCCAGTGTGAGTCATATTGTCTCTGTCTTTGCCTCTCTGTCTATCTCTCTGTCTCTGCCTCCCTGTCT